TATATATTAAATTAGTTTATTTAGTATCATGTTTTCAACAACTTCTAATCAACAATTAGTATTTATAAACAAATTCGTGCACATGGATATGAATTATTAATATGCAAATCGTCCGATTTCAGCGATATTTCTTTCTTTAATGTAACATTTATAAACCCTTACTGGTTATTAAACAAGTTCGTTCAAAACTTTAAGGGCAACAGATGGCGTTGGCCGAATTCGACGTCTAAACCAAAAATATTTTTTTGATCTAAAGGTAACAAATTAACGTAGGGTACAATGTTTTTTATTATTTAGATTAAAGCGATAAGATATACATAATTTGTAAGATATATATGGCAAAACAATATTGAGGCCCCATCGCTTTCAGGTAAAATGTCCCTTTAGCAATTTTCCTTGCCACCCACCCACTTTCTTAAATTCTAAGCGCACGCTTTTCGTGCCTCGCGGTCTCCTGTCTTTTTTGCACAAGCAAGCTAAATTTTGCTTCAGTTCAACGTAAGTATAGCCAAATGATCGGATACGCTTCACAGTTCAATAAAACATATTGTACAAGAGATTAAACGCCCGTTACCGCGCTCACTGCTCACTCGTTGAGCAGACAGGTGCGGACAATGGCGTTGCACACGGCGTAGGGATCACAGTTGGAGCTTGGCCGCCGGTCCTCGAGGTATCCTTTGCCGGCCGTCGCTACGCCACGTGGCACTCGCACACTTACGGCACGGTTGGCCACGCCCCAGGAAAACTTATCGATGCTAGAAGTCTCAAGACGACCCACGAGGCGCCGTTCATTGTCTTTGCCCTCCTTGGGGTCATATGCCTTGATGTGGCGCTCATGGCGTTTGCTCAGCTTCTCGATGGCCTCCTCGATGGCCTTGATTCCGCCATCGGCACGCATCGCCTTTGTAGAAAAGTTGGTGTGCGCGCCGGCTCCGTTCCACTGTCCCTCCATCGGCTTGGGGTCGAAGGTGACCACAACGCCATACTCCTCAGCTATGCGCTGCAAAATATATCGCGACACCCACAAATCGTCACAGGCCTTGATCCCGGCTGGACCAATTTGGAACTCCCACTGGGCGGGCATCACCTCGGCATTGGTGCCAGCGAAGTCGATCCCAGCATACAGGCAGGCCACGATGTGGGCCTCTACAAGATCGCGAGCGTAGACGCGGTCCGCTCCCACGCCGCAGTAGTAAGGTCCTTGTGGGGCAGGGAAGCCGTTCTCCGGCCAGCCGAAGGGACGTCCGTTCACGTCTAGCAAAGTGTATTCTTGCTCAATGCCGAACCACGGCTCCTGATCGCCGATTTGGTCAATTGCTGCCTGGAAGGCGGCACGCTTGTTGGAGCCCGTCGGCTTGCCGTCGGCGTTGTAGGTGTCGCACAGGACAATTACGTCGTTCTTTCCGGGCTTGAAGGGATCGCGGTATATGGCGCGTGGCTTGAGCGTGGTGTCCGAGTTCTCACCATGGGCCTGGTAGGTGGAACTGCCGTCGTATTGCCAATCCGGCAAGTCCTCCACGGAACTGGGTACCTTGTCCAAGACGCGATCCTTGAGGCGAATGTTCTCGCCGGTACCGTCGATCCATAAGTAAGTGGCTTGCACCCGATTGGCAGGCGTTTCCAGGTTGCGGTACCGCTGCAGAATGCTCTTGTCCAAGACGGTGTTGGGGGAGTTGGCCAAGAACTGGGAGCGGGTCGTATTGCTAGTGCGCAGCAGACGCAGCTGCTGCGTTGCGGGAGCCACCAGCTCCTTCTTCAGGAAGAGTCCGGCCACGCGGAGTGCCATGTTGGTTCTTAGATTGGAGTCGGCGAGAAGGACAAAAGGACACGGTTAGTTATGTATTGCAGGCGAATGTGAGTACGTGCGCAGCAAGATGGGACTGGTGGTATGCTGGCTCACCCTGCTTTTCTCATGTATTTTTTTTATGTAATTGTTTTCTTGCACTTGATTTTCTGGGGTATTTGAGAAAGGAGCTACTTTTCCAATCAAGCCTCAGTCTTTCGCACAACTTACCGTGCACTGCTCGTTTTTCCACTTTACAGTTATATGATTGGCTAGTAGTCGCTGGACAGGTCTTTTGGGGATTTTCGAATTGCGGGACTTTCGGTTTTCGTTTTTGTTTCTGTTTCTGTCAGTAGCTGCGGAGCGACTGTTGAGGACACCCGACCGATTCGATGTTTGGAAGGCTTGTGAGCACAGTTAGCGCGACCACATTCACTTTTTTCGTTTTCGTTTCAATTCGCTCGTCGTTTCGTCGCGCGCCTCGGGTTTTCTTTATCGCCTTTGCGACGCCGACGCACAGACGAGGCCTCCTCAGAGAGCAGCCAAAACTGGCAGTATGCGGGCACCCAAGAAGCAGAAGCAGAAGCAGAAACAGAAGCACCAGCCAGAGAGACCTGCGATGCGACCCATAATGTTTATGTTTCAAGGCTACTCGTGTGGGCGAAAGCCCCGTTACTGGCCCACGCTATGATGCGCTCATTGATGCGTTTAGAGCACTTGTAGCTTGCATTAGCGCCAAATGAGAAACCGAAGTTTTGAATAGTTCTCATCGTAGAAAACCTGCACTAAGGTGCATAGCAAACTTGAGGTACGATATTTTGATATATTCATTTTATGTTTAAAATGAGTGCTACCAGTATTTCAAAAACTGTGGCAGGTTTTATTCCGCCTTTAAAATGCCGCGAGGCCTGTACGCAGTATTACAACAATGCAACTTATTACAACACTCTCTTATTTCCCGCAATCTCTTCGTAGAAACCTCCACCAGTTTGCTCTCTGGTGGATTGTTTTGAATACACGCCTGGTACAAAGGTCAAAATATACATTTAAATATAGCGAATGCAAGGAGCACCGTATCAGCTGTATCTATTCGTGTTTAGCGTTTGATAAACTTTGCCGGCGGACAGCATTAAAAGAGCCTAAACTTAATCAATATTGATTGGTTTATGCAATGTAAATCCGGCACTACATTTTCATATTCCAATATTTTAATATTAAAGCCTATATCTACCTGAAAATAAAAATAACTAAAATAAGAGTATGCATAATATTTGTTTGGCGTAACAGGTACACAGTATAGCCTGCTTTTAGGCTGCGAGTGTGAATAATGATGAAAAGTGCACTTTACATGCAGTGTAAATTTTGATCTAAACATCCGATTTCTATGGGGGACATCATGTTGGAAAATATTTAGCTCACCCATTTCCACGGAGAACAACTAATCTTCTTCCAAAGCAACAATTGGCTAGTTGTCCGCCCCAAAGCCGCGTGGCGGGAAAGGAAGCTTTTTTGGACGGCTCATATTGGGCGAGCTTCAGGTTGCCATAACAAAGAAAACAAGGAAAACAGAAGAAACTTTTGTATGCCAATGTGTGAGTGGCAATTTTCACCATAGCGGGGACTTATTCACATATAGCCGTTTACGCTTTTCCAGTTACGTGGCATCGTTTCCACTGGTTGGCCGGCTTCAGTTATCTTTCGCAAGAAACTACGAAATTACCTTCCAGCATAGAGTGTATATTTAAACCCGATGTGGAATGGACCAAACATAAAATCAAAAATTCTTATATTAGGCTTGGGTTTCGACTGCCTATTGGCGGGTTTTTCTTGCGAAGGCAACTTGTTGCTTTGAAGCGGTGTCTTTAGTAGCTGTTTAGATACGGCACCATGAACCAGTATAGTTGGAAGCAGTTTTTGGAAAACAATAATCTGTAAGTAGCCGAATTAGACGGGTCTCAAGCAAAATGCATCGCATTAAGTTGGCACATCTAATATAAACATCGTTTATAAAAAGAATTCAACAAGTGGTAGAACAACCGGTTTGCAATTCCTGTCAATTGTTGACATCTCCGTGACTTGAATAGCCCCAAGCTTTAGAAATTTCCAAACCTATAGTCATCGGAAAACTGCCAGTGGAAATTCATTAATTTATCATATCTTAAAGCGCGTGCATAACTTTAATGCAGTATGCTGGGTTTAAACCCAGGAACCGAACTAGGAAAACTATCTCAAATGGCGGTTTGCGCTAGGAAAATACCTGTTGTTGCGTTTTTACTTGCCCCATAATAAATAAGAAAAACCGGTTTTACTGAAATTAAATGTAATACGGTCTCGTTTACACTTAAAGTGCAATTCGTTAATCCCAATCAGATTGGGAAAAATACAGATCGCTTGCGACTTATTAGCGGAGAATTGTAAGCGCATGTTAATCATTTTCTGTTGTGATTACACATCTTGCAACAATCATTACATCTTACTGTTGCGCTAAGACATACCCCAAGTTGGAGCCAAGTTGTAAGGACCTCCCACGCCCCAGTAAATGTCGTGCTACAAATGACCTCATGCCACATAAAATGTAGGGAAACGCAAAATGTAGGTAAAGTGTCGCCAAAGCAAACCATGAAAAATGCTTCCGAGAGCTCCTTTAAACGAAGAACGGAACTTATTAATTTATTTTTACGTAAAACACCAAACGACAAAGTACAACCCCTTATCGGCTCATTGGAGACTCCTATCAGTTATAGATTGGCACCATAGATAAGCCCCTGCCATAACTCATGAGTCATGAGCGAGGCCGTGAACTTTTAACTTAACTTGACTAAAGCAATGGCCAGAACCTTAGCTTCCAGGACTGACTACTCATTAAGCCATGCCAATAGGCCTTGCTCATTATACTATAAAAGGCTGATATAATGATAGACTATTGAAGTACACAACAGGCTAGTACGATATCAGTATACGGTATGTTCCTTCGGAAGGCATGTGGGTGCTAAATCCGATCGAGATTAGTCTTTTCCTAAATTCATTCAAGACACAGTAGAAGATTGCGCTGGCTTTTAAGAGAGCGAACCCACTGTATCTCTCAATCGCACTAGAATCCCCACCAGAAGTGGTGCCTCTACTGCCGTCCTACTCTAACCACAGACGGAGAGCATTGGGGCTGCGAGAGAATGCGATGGCACTCTCTGCCAGCGGTCGCTGAAATTTCTGCCTTTGTTCCACTGCCGCAATTGCTTATTTCAGTTGCGATCGCGGCGCGAGCGAGTCAAGTCCTAATATTCGTGAAGCGGCAGTTCCGTTTCGAGCAGACGGGTGGAAAATTTCTCTCACCGGACCAGACGGTGGTGGAATCGTATCGAGAACGCGAACGAAAACCCAAACGGGAACGAAGGGCAGCGGGGCTGCAGTGTTGCTGTCAGTGCCAAAGTTTACAAAGAATACACACACAATACAGTGGTTGCATTTTGCTTTTTAACCCCTGGTTGGTTGATTGATTGACAAGATGACTAAGAACGATAATGCAAATCTGTTGAACGACAACAGACTGGGCACAGCCGGAGCGGGTCAGTTGAAGGCTCAGATAGTGCCCGCCCAGCCAAAGACGCTCCAACACCTGCCGAAGCGACCAGCGGTGGACCTGGCCTTCCACAACCTAACGTACCGCGTCAAGGAGGGGAACCGGAGCAGTAAGTACTTCCATTGTTTAGCACCTCTCTATATCCACTTGCACTCCTTGGTCGCTCGAGAGCTGGATCTTGAACTACCCGCGCCTGCTCTCACCCCACCGTAAAGCTCTTGTTTCCTGTCCTGGCTAGTAGTGCTCCGCACATGTATTATTGAGAGATAGTTCTCCGGAGTGCTCTGTTGCTATTACGCACTTCCCTGGCTTTAGCGGGTTTTACTTGTTTGCTTTAGCTGCGCTTCGCTTCGCATTGTGTTGGTTTCTGGTTTCTTTGTTCTATTAGCAGCTGTAACGCAGTATCAGCACTCTCATACTGTGAGCAACGGGGAGAACGTCGGATTGTGGCTGAGTTGATATGTAACCCGTCGTCGAATTCATTTCCCAGTTACACAAGGGCGGCCCTGGCCAAAGTTCACTGGGTTTCACAGCGATAAGTACTGCGAAATACATCACAATCATCATCTAGTAGTCGCGGAGTAACTGCCCACACTAGCGATTTTCGCCATTGGGACAGTCAACAAGTTGGTTCGATTCCATAGCATCTAAAAGGCGAGAAGCCATGTACTCACACTTCTCTCACGTCTCTGTGTATCTACTTTGGAGCATGGGTGGAGCACAACGCGGTTTGTTTGGATATACTGCTGCTATGGAAAATATTCTGTGATGACGTGCTAGTGGGAGAGGTATTGTTCTTATACCCCTTACTCGTAAAGTACTTTTGAAAAATATTCAAATTTTTTTTGGTAATTTTATAATTTGCTTTGCCAAATTCTGCGAAGACCATTCTTTTTAACGATGTTCAAAATGTCTCCCACCTAAGTAACAGGTATAAGATAGTCGGGGTTAGTTAATAGTGCTGGTTTCATGGTGGCGGTGTGTGCTTTCAGTGTTAGCAGAGCGATTAGGGTTTAGTCACAGCCGCATAGCTAGCTATAGTGCGGTATGGTGGAGAAAACACATTTCTGCTAATATGCAGTGCCCCGTTCAGGAGGGGGGCCGTTCAGAATAGGTAATGATGGCCCAGCGATAATATTTCTATAGTTTGGTATGCCAACGAGCACAACTGCTTTATTCTCATACTAATAAAAAGCTCAGCCATAAAACCCACTCCCCTTGTTGTCGAATTGGATTGCTCGCCGCACGGCGGACATAGTCCGAACATCCCGACAAAGACTGAGGGACTGTCAAAGCCTGTTTTTGAGATTAAGGCCAGTCAAGTGCAAATCTAATTGGAGAAGGCAGCAGCCTGAACTTTGCACAGCTTAAAGGCCGGCCATCCGACTCAATTAAGTCGTTCAGAATAAGCGAATATGTATATAGACGTATTTACAATGCCCAATGAGCGTGTCTCACCTGGCCCAAAGATTTGCAGATGGCACGCCGCCTTCTCATACGTGCTAAGTTATGTGCCAAAATAATGTATACAATATAAGATGGAATTGGCTGTGAGGCTACAGATGGAAATTGCGCTGATTTCGGCCAACTATGCCACTTTTAAGTAAACACAAATAATAAAGCAATTGCCTGCGAGCGTTCTTGAATGCTACACTAAAACAAAGAGAGTTAAATTCAGAAAGCGAATTTCTGTGCCCTTGAGGCAAGGTTCGCGCAATCTTTTCTTGGGAGACCTGAATGGTTGCACTTGTTGTCCAATTCGGTCATAAACATCAAAGCTACGAGTTGGCCTTAGCGTTGGACTATAGCTTTTCAAGCGTGGCCCCACTTTTGGTGCTATTACATTAATTGGCCAGCAAGTAAGACGTTGCATACCTAGTGGTTACGACTACGACTTGCTAGTCGCTGCCTGGCAGCTGGGGTTCACTGCCAGCTTTTAAAGTCTACGTATTAAGTAAGCCGCCGAATAAAACATTTACAGTCCCTGCATGAGCTTAATAAATTTCGAGTTTCACTTCTGAGCGGGTCACGGTACTTTACTAAACGGAGTTATGACAAACATAAAATGAATTATTACGTAATAGTTACTTTGCAGAAACTCTTATGCAGCTAAAGCTCTTGTGCCTCGCAAGCCACAGCAAGAACCCATGCTAGATTCCGTCACCTGATTGTGATTTAATGGTTGATCCATCTTCTCATTAGATTGAGAGCCGGCAGCCGACGCGCGTGCCCCCATGAAAACGGGTATATTAGCATTTTCCGCAAAACGCAGATGGCTTGCTATACAAAACTATAGGTTTAAACTTTAAAGGTATACCATGTTGATAAGGCACTTCCGCATCTAAGCAGTTTCATTTAGGCAGCATGTGCGAAAATACTGAGGCCGACTAACTTTAAGACAAGCGTTACTAACGTGCCATTGGCTTCTTAGGAATTTCACCCGTATTGTTTATTGGTTGTCCGTTGTCGACGGATGTATAATAAAATTTGAGTAATGGATGCGGTTGCTTGACAACTGTTGGAATTCCGTCGATAATAGCATAAGTCATACCACATTTGGCTGAATTAATAAGACCGATTCGCGGTGGAGGTAGAGGGAGAAAAACGCCATGGGGCCAATGACCGTGCTATGCCTTTTGATATTCAGACTTTGCAGATTTTGTTTACCTATCGAATCTACACTTGCTCGTCCAAAAGCCAATGCAATGTCTTTCTTGATAGCTGTGGCGGCACTAGGTATTGACGTAAGACCTCTCAAAACCCGAACTATTTTTAGCCTTAACAAGAGATTGGCCAAACACTAATTTCGTGTCTTTTATTACAGATGCCAAGACCATTCTGAAGGGCGTCAGTGGACGCCTCCGGTCTGGAGAGCTCACCGCCATAATGGGACCATCGGGTGCTGGCAAGAGTACGCTGCTCAACATTTTGTCTGGCTACAAGTAGGTTTCGCAGGGCCTGATTATTTGCATTCATGTCAAGTAGCTGCTGATTCCGACACTGAACGTATCTGACCTTGCGCCAGCACACGAGAATACGGCGAAACGAGTTCGAAAATGTTTATATTCAGCCCTGTATTATCATCAGCAATAATTGCGACTTGATAACCACTCTGCCGCTTTAAGTGCTTAAACAGCCGACCTTTCATCGCCTTGCGTTCTTCGCATTTCAGTAATTTATGCGGGACACACACATGTCCCTATTCTAAGCGCAATGACTTTCCTTCTTCAGCTCAATATTTATTCATTTATTGTAAACCTTAAATTTTGCTCTATTGCATAATAATCATAAACATTTTTATCAAGAGTTTGTTACCAGGAGTGGTCAACCGATCGCCCTAAATCAATACGAGCAGAAAGACTATGATACATGGATACAATTGTACCTGTGTGTAATCGAATGCTCGCTTTGCTATTTCCTCACACACATTTAGCAATGTCGCCGAGTTTTATTAGTTTGAATATTTGAGGGAGAATCAGCTACAACTTTGCTGGACTTCGGACTTAAGTTGTCCGATCGCGTGCACATGTATACAAAGTATATTAAATAAGTGTCCGCATACAACCAAACGTAGATATGCACAATAAAATACACGCTCGATTACTCGAAATTAGCTTTGCCCAGTGATAACAGGTCTGCCACAAATAACAAAAAAATGGTAAAGCCTATTCGGATTACAGTACAGGATTGTAATTTAGATGATACTCATCTTTACAATGGCCCTCGGTTCTGAAAGCCATATAATACAATCTCTGATCAATTTTCATTTGCAGAACTTCGAGCATCGAAGGCAGCGTTACCATGAACGGTGCCGAACGTAACCTAAGCGCATTTCGCAAGCTTTCCGCCTACATCATGCAGGACAATCAGCTTCACGGAAACCTTACCGTTCAGGAAGCAATGACTGTGGCAACCAATCTGAAGCTCAGCAAGAAGTTCTCGAAACCCGAGAAGCATTCCATGGTAAGTTGAGAAAGAAAGGAGCATGATAGTCGATTATAATGATTAATCGTGAAGAGCTACATAGTAAGTTGTTTTAAGCCAATTTCATTCGACTACCTTTGTGTGGCACAGAACTTTTGGTCTGAACAAAAGTTGTATTTACTTAAAACCGCTAATAAGTCGTCCCTTCTCCCAGATCGATGACATTTTGCTCACTCTCAGCCTGAGCGAACACCGCTATACGATGACTCGAAACTTGTCCGGCGGTCAGAAAAAGCGGCTCTCGATTGCCCTGGAACTGGTCAGCAATCCTCCGATAATGTTCTTTGATGAACCCACATCCGGCCTGGACAGTTCTACCTGCTTTCAGTGCATTCATCTGCTAAAAATGCTAGCTGCTGGCGGGCGCACTGTTATATGCACCATCCATCAACCCTCCGCTCGCCTCTTCGAGATGTTCGACCAGCTATACACTCTCGCAGATGGACAGTGCGTCTACCAGGGCAGTACCAAGCAACTGGTGCCCTTCCTGTCTACGCTGAACCTGGAGTGCCCCAGTTATCACAATCCGGCCAGCTACGTGATTGAGGTGTCTTGCGGGGAGCACGGCGACCACACGCGGAAACTGGTCGATGCCATTGACAACGGCAAGCGGGACGTTCGTTCATCAGCGGACTACGCTGGCCTCAAGGCTCGCAATGATTTGGTGAAGGTGCAAAACCTTAAGGCCATTCTGGATAAGAACGACGCCTCAAGTGTCAGCGGCGGCAAGTACGAGGAGAACCTCACCTTGAACAACGGCTTGCTCAACGGCATGGTCAACGACATTGTGAAGGAGAGCAACGTTAGCTCTGCCTTGGTCACCACCAACGAAAAGGGAGATGCCATGATCGATGTGGAAAAGTCCGTAAACTGCACTACTGCCTTGCTTACGGAGGAGATAACATCACCCGAGCGATATCCAACTTCTCAGTTCCACCAGTTCTGGGTGGTTCTTAAGCGAACTCTACTCTTCAGTTACCGGGATTGGGTAAGAATACTAATAATGGTGATCTACAGGACTTTGGTAGACTAAATATTGTTTCACTCTATTAAAGACTCTTATGTATCTGCGTTTATTCGCCCATCTATTGGTTGGATTCCTGATTGGCGCCCTCTACTATGACATTGGCAATGATGGAGCAAAAGTTTTGAGCAACCTGGGTTTCCTCTTCTTTAACATGCTTTTCCTCATGTATACATCTATGACTATTACGATCCTATCATGTAAGTAAACCTGCTTGATATTCATCCCTCTGTGGTTAATATATTATTTTGTTTGTTTTAGTCCCGCTTGAGATGCCCGTTCTGTTGAAAGAAAACTTTAATCGCTGGTACTCGCTAAAGTCCTACTATTTGGCTATATCAGTAGCTGATTTACCGTTTCAAGTGAGTTGCACTCAGCTGTTGAGTAGAGCGACTGCAACTGATAAAAAATAACTTTTTCCTTCAGGCTATTTTCTGCGTTATCTACGTGTCGATTGTATATTACTTCACTTCACAACCGTGGGAGCTATTCCGCTTCTCCATGTTCTTGTCGGCCTGCCTGCTCATCTCATTCGTTGCTCAGTCCGTGGGTCTTGTGGTAGGCGCTGCAATGAATGTCCAGAACGGTGTCTTTCTGGCCCCTGTCATGTCCGTGCCATTCCTTCTGTTCTCCGGCTTCTTCGTCTCCTTTGACGCTATACCAGTATACTTAAGGTGGATCACATATTTGTCGTACATACGATATGGTTTCGAGGGCACAGCTCTGGCCACCTACGGATACGGACGTGAAAAACTGAGGTGCTTCCAGACGTACTGCCATTTTAAATCACCTATTACCACACTGGAGGAACTGGACATGGTTAATGCTAACTTTACTCTCGACATTGTGGCCCTGATTGTGATCTTCGTGGTGCTGCGCATCTCGGCATACCTGTTCTTGCGCTGGAAGCTGAAGACTGTGCGATAAGCATACATACATACATTACATAATTATATTTGTTGTTTTGGCTTTAATAGCTTTCTATGTACGTACTATATAGTTTCAACAAAGCGTCTTGGGTTCTGTTCTTAATCATTAAACAATTTATTTTTGTTTAGTTTTTAGTCGCGATATTCGTATTCTAAGTGATAATAACGCAAGGAGGTTTCTTATCTTAAATCAGCTTGATTCCAGCCGCAGATGTAGTAAAACCTATTCAAACCACTTTTAGCACATCTTTGATATAAGTGAATCGTATAATGAAATAAGTTATTGAACATCAAACCATTTTTCTAAATAAAAATATTTGAATACATTTCAAGGTGTTTTTACCGGATGGTTTTTTAAGGCTTTCAATAAAAAACGAACATATTTTGTCGTACATACAATATTTATATATACGCATATTTTTACTGAAGGTACTACGAGTATAAGCCCCTTTGTAATTATTTTGTAACATTTCCTTAATACAGGTTTACAATAAATACCTTTGAATACATACAAATGTATGTATAAATTGTTTATTCTGGGAGGACACAAATTAGATAAATTAAGATTTTTACTGCCGTTATTTGTTGTGATCAGCGGCATATTTATATAAAAGCTCTTTGAGCGCCATCTACCGGAAAAATCAATTCGTACGAATCGGCCGTTTAAATTCGAATCGCTTTCAATGGACGATAAGGGTTTCGCAATCAAATATTTACTTACATATTATGTTATTTTTTTTTTTGATGTTGTGTTGTAGAAATTCAAAAAAATAAGAAATGCCCTCAGGCTGAAGTTCTCAACCCCATAACTCAACTTACCTTAATCGGATTTTGAAGTGCAATACCTCTAAATGATTCTGCCGCAGTTCAGTAGCAGACTGCTACCGAAAACCAAAGGATCGTTGGTCACCTTCTGGAGTTCCTGTTCGCCTGGTAATTCAAACCGAAAAATCTCACAATTTTGACTACAAAATTTACATTTTTATGGCAAATTGTAGATTTTTCGGTTTGAATTACCAGGCGATCATAATCAGTAGCAGGTTGCTACCGAAAACCAATAGATCGTTGGTCACCTTCTGGAGTTCCTGTTCGCCTGGTAATTCAAACCGAAAAATCTCACAATTTTACCTACAAAATTTACATTTTTATGGCAAATTGTAGATTTTTCGGTTTGAATTACCAGGCGATCATAATCAGTAGCACGTTGCTACCGAAAACTAAACGATCGTTGGTCACCTTCTGGAGTTCCTGTTCGCCTGGTAATTCAAGCCGAAAAATCTCACAATTTTGACTACACAATTTACATTTTTATGGCAAATTGTAGATTTTTCGGTTTGAATTACCAGGCGATCATAATCAGTAGCAGGTTGCTACCGAAAACCAAAAGATCGTTGGTCACCTTCTGGAGTTCCTGTTCGCCTGGTAATTCAAACCGAAAAATCTCACAATTTTGCCTACAAAATGTAAATTTGTAGGCAAAATTGTTGATTTTTCGGTTTGAATTACCAGGCGATCATAATCAGTGGCAGGTTGCTACCGAAAACCAAAAGATCGTTGGTCACCTTCTGGAGTTCCTGTTCGCCTGGTAATTCAAACCGAAAAATCTCACAATTTTGACTACAAAATTTACATTTTTATGGCAAATTGTAGATTTTTCGGTTTGAATTACCAGGCGATCATAATCAGTAGCAGGTTGCTACCGAAAACCAAAAGATCGTTGGTCACCTTCTGGAGTTCCTGTTCGCCTGGTAATTCAAACCGAAAAATCTCACCATTTTGCCTACAAAATGTAAATTTGTAGGCAAAATTGTTGATTTTTCGGTTTGAATTACCAGGCGATCATAATCAGTAGCAGGTTGCTACCGAAAACTAAACGATCGTTGGTCACCTTCTGGAGTTCCTGTTCGCCTGGTAATTCAAACCGAAAAATCTCACAATTTTGACTACAAAATTTACATTTTTATGGCAAATTGTAGATTTTTCGGTTTGAATTACCAGGCGATCATAATCAGTAGCAGGTTGCAACCGAATACCAAAAGATCGTTGGTCACCTTCTGGATTTCCTGTTCGCCTGGTAATTCAAACCGAAAAATCTCACAATTTTGCCTACAAAATGTAAGTTTTTATGGCAAATTGTAGATTTTTCGGTTTGAATTACCAGGCGATCATAATCAGTAGCACGTTGCTACCGAAAACCAATAGATCGTTGGTCACCTTCTGGAGTTCCTGTTCGCCTGGTAATTCAAACCGAAAAATCTCACAATTTTGACTACAAAATTTACATTTTTATGGCAAATTGTAGATTTTTCGGTTTGAATTACCAGGCGATCATAATCAGTAGCAGGTTGCTACCGAAAACCAAAAGATCGTTGGTCACCTTCTGGAGTTCCTGTTCGCCTGGTAATTCAAACCGAAAAATCTCACAATTTTACCTACAAAATTTACATTTTTATGGCAAATTGTAGATTTTTCGGTTTGAATTACCAGGCGATCATAATCAGTAGCAGGTTGCTACCGAAAACTAAACGATCGTTGGTCACCTTCTGGAGTTCCTGTTCGCCTGGTAATTCAAGCCGAAAAATCTCACAATTTTGACTACAAAATTTACATTTTTATGGCAAATTGTAGATTTTTCGGTTTGAATTACCAGGCGATCATAATCAGTAGCAGGTTGCTACCGAAAACCAAAAGATCGTTGGTCACCTTCTGGAGTTCCTGTTCGCCTGGTAATTCAAACCGAAAAATCTCACAATTTTGCCTACAAAATGTAAATTTGTAGGCAAAATTGTTGATTTTTCGGTTTGAATTACCAGGCGATCATAATCAGTGGCAGGTTGCTACCGAAAACCAAAAGATCGTTGGTCACCTTCTGGAGTTCCTGTTCGCCTGGTAATTCAAACCGAAAAATCTCACAATTTTGCCTACAAAATGTAAGTTTTTATGGCAAATTGTAGATTTTTCGGTTTGAATTACCAGGCGATCATAATCAGTAGCACGTTGCTACCGAAAACCAATAGATCGTTGGTCACCTTCTGGAGTTCCTGTTCGCCTGGTAATTCAAACCGAAAAATCTCACAATTTTGACTACAAAATTTACATTTTTATGGCAAATTGTAGATTTTTCGGTTTGAATTACCAGGCGATCATAATCAGTAGCAGGTTGCTACCGAAAACCAAAAGATCGTTGGTCACCTTCTGGAGTTCCTGTTCGCCTGGTAATTCAAACCGAAAAATCTCACAATTTTGCCTACAAAATGTAAATTTGTAGGCAAAATTGTTGATTTTTCGGTTTGAATTACCAGGCGATCATAATCAGTTGCAGGTTGCTACCGAAAACCAAAAGATCGTTGGTCACCTTCTGGAGTTCCTGTTCGCCTGGTAATTCAAACCGAAAAATCTCACAATTTTGACTACAAAATGTAAGTTTTTATGGCAAATTGTAGATTTTTCGGTTTGAATTACCAGGCGATCATAATCAGTAGCACGTTGCTACCGAAAACCAATAGATCGTTGGTCACCTTCTGGAGTTCCTGTTCGCCTGGTAATTCAAACCGAAAAATCTCACAATTTTGCCTACAAAATGTAAATTTGTATGGCAAATTGTAGATTTTTCGGTTTGATCATAATCAGTTGCAGGTTGCTACCGAAAACCAAAAGATCGTTGGTCACCTTCTGGAGTTCCTGTTCGCCTGGTAATTCAAACCGAAAAATCTCACAATTTTGCCTACAAAATGTACATTTTTATGGCAAATTGTAAATTTTCAGCTTGAATTATCAGGCGATCATAATCAGTAGCAGGTTGCTACCGAAAACCAAACGATCGTTGGTCACCTTCTGGAATTCCTGTTCGCCTGGTAATTTAAACCGAAAAATCTCACAATTTTGCCTACAAAATGTACATTTTTATGGCAAATTGTAAATTTTCAGCTTGAATTATCAGGCGATCATAATCAGTAGCAGGTTGCTACCGAAAACCAAACGATCGTTGGTCACCTTCTGGAATTCCTGTTCGCCTGGTAATTTAAACCGAAAAATCTCACAATTTTGCCTACAAAATTTACATTTTTATGGCAAATTGTAAATTTTCAGCTTGAATTATCAGGCGATCATAATCAGTAGCAGGCTGCTACCGAAAACCAAACGATCGTGGTCACCTTCTGGAATTCACGCTGTTGCTATTCGTTGCTATTGTTGCTATTCGTATTCGCAAGCGATATGCCTTATTTTGTTTGCAATAATGGAATCCATCATGATAGCCTTAATAATTATGTCCGCTTTAAGCGGAAGAATTTTCAATTTCATGCAAAAACCATTTAAAGCGAAGAAGCAGTAATTTTTAGTGTTGTAAAAGGATGCTCCACATAATAGTTCGATCGCTAAGAAAATCTAAATGAGCTACAGCGTGACTCAAAAAAAAATCACTGAGGTAGGAACTGAACTGATACCAAAGCATAGTCCGTCTTTCCTTTTTATTTGTCAGGTAAGTGGAATCGGTATAAATAGACTGGCCATATCCTTTCGAATCGCATTTAATAGGTTGCAAAACAAGTTTTTGATCTTCTACAGCTGGAATCAGTCTGTAGCTTTCTGAAGGGCAAAAGAACTCGGCCCGGGCACTAGCCTCTGTACATCTAGCATTTGCAGTAGCAGTCACTGCCGCGGTCTTCCTGCACTCGCTTTTAGTACATATTCGGTCGTCGGTGCAACAAGACGACGGTTCTTCGCTGCTGTGGCGCGGTTGCCGCCATGAGAAAGAGAGTGAACAGCCAGCAACAGCAGCAAATACAAAAAGAAAGTGGAGTAAGTGCCCCCTATCGCTCCACCGATACACCCGCTGCAGCGCCAGCGTCAGAGCCAGTGAGTGAGTGGTGCATTTACGCAGCTGCAAATAGTAGTGAACGCCGGCTGTATCTAACGCGTTCGTTGAACCCGAAGTCGAAAACAACTGCGACAGTGCTTGCAGCACTGCGGCACCCAAGTACGAGAAAAATTTTTGACTACTATTTTCCCCGCTTCTGAGCAACACGAGCAAAGACAATTATTGAATCGATTTCTGGGTCAGCTAAGGCAGTTGTTATCAGCGACCTTTCTACAAGACGCGGCAATGCCGAACAAAACTGATTATATTCTTTTTTATTATTTTGAAACATAAGGATTTATTTACTTAACCTAATATTTTATTTACATATATATGTAATTAATTCGTTGGATTGTTTATTCATGTATCACAGTTCAATATTCTCGCTTCAGTGCATTTACATGCACCATTACTCACACAGCGTCGAAATGAGACAAAAGCTTTGCCGGCGAGTCGCATTTCGTATACCCTAGACAAGCAAGATAAAACGCCTTGCTATGCGCAACTTAATACGACATAGGCCAGACGCTAACTGAAAATTGTTTAAACGGTATCAAGAAGTGGGGCCAATGGTCACACACCCCGTTTCAGGCCGACTCACAATTAAATTTGTATTCATAGACTGACGCTGAATGCTTTCAACAGATAAAGCGGTTCGGTTGTCAAAACATGAAGCCCGCAATCAGTCAGAGTAAAAAGAAGATAAAGAGTGAATAATAACGTACAGATTGCGCATCCACATTGTCCCCCCGACCGGCTTAAATCTAGTGTCGATCCAAACTTCCGCTATAGGTTCGCCCACTGATAACGCACGAAATTCTCAGACAGTTCTGTAGCGTTGAAGCTGCATCGGAATAATTGCAAATCGACTGTCCAGTTTCGGTTTGCAGCGCCTTTACTCAGCAGCTCTCCATGCCACTTGTTCTTCTCCCCATTCCCTGACATATACCCGGACAGTCAGATCTCCGGACCGCCGTCGCCGTCAGACGAGCAGTCATTCGGTCAGAACTCGAGCAGGCTGTCAGTCGTGCATGTACTGTGTACTGCTTTCCATCAATTGAAAATCCGAGTATGTTTTCGAGCAGCGCTCAGAGACTACGATCGCGCAATTCGTAGGGTAAATGAAATTAATTTAAAAAGTTCTTCGGTCAGTTCGGAATTTGTTTCTAGAACGAAGGGAGAGCGCTTTCCGTGGTCCCAGATACGCGTAAGTAATTTTTAGAAATGCAAATTGCCGCTTTTAATTAACTTGAATCGAGTAGCAAGCAAACGAAACATGCGATGACGATGAGTTTGTCAAACGGGTTTACACCAAAAAACGTATTACTTTCTTTTTTACTGTTTACCAATTCATTTCTAATGTATAAATGAATCTGCGCCTTGAAACGAGGATTCCAGTATTACGAACGCACACCTTATAAGGTTATTTTTAAAAGCAAAGCCTTATGTGAACAGTAACTGTAAACGGAATCAATTCTTATTCTTTCCTTATCAAAAATTCACAATTTCCCTTCTCTAGAAGCAATGACATCGATTCAAAACAACGACGAACTGTAGGAATATTAAGATGGAATCTGCCAGCAGCTTAAAAGGCAGTACAACCTCCCAAATCAGCTCCCTTCAATATAGCAGCGACATTAACGCCTATAGCATCGAGCCCGATCAATCGGAGGACTGTCAAACAGTCCTCGGCCTCAAGTACTTGCCATCTTGGCCAGCGGTAAATTTGAAGTTTTCGGAACTGTCTTATAAGGTGCCCGACCAAACCAATGGTGAGTGTGTCAAATCAGCTCATGCTTGAGTAATTGATAATGAATATATTCGTGTTTGATAATGGGTTATTAAGAATGGTTATTGCACATTTTCAAAGTAATTACTGTTTCCACAGTCCGCTTGATTTCTAATGCTGAACATGCACATATTAAATAGCAATTTCCGTCTAATTCTACGTTAACAACAATCAATTAATGCCGATATCATACCTTACAATGAAAAAGTAGAATTATACTTTATTACTATTCCCACCACATTTCGCAGCTTCAAAAACAAAGACGATTTTGCGGAGAGTCAATGGAATGTTTCACTCTCACGAACTTACTGCGATTATAGGGCCTTCAGGCGCTGGTAAAACCACACTACTAAACCTACTGGCCGGCTTTGGGTAAGATCTAACACATCCGACCTCTTTACAATAATCCTTTATTAATTACCAATAGGGCCGAGTGCAACTCCGGTGAGATTTTGGTCAACAACAGTCCGCGCGATATGCGAGTCTTTCGCAAAATGTCTCGATATATAATGCAGGTAAAAGTGGATTACTAAAGTGCGTTCCACTAAAAATGTATTCAATTCATCTTAGACTGATGTCCTGGACTCACAGTTTACAGTACTGGAAATGATGCTCTTAGCGGCAAACCTGAAGTTGGGAAAAGAACTAAATTTAAAGCAAAAGCTAGAAGTGGTAGGATTGATTTTAAATTATACACAAAGTCGTGTTTTTATCTAAACCTCTGAGTAGATTGACGAAATTTTGGGAATGTTGCGCCTAAAAGAATCCCTGAACACCATGGCTCAAAAGCTATCTGGGGGTGAGCGAAAGCGTTTATGCATTGCCCTTGAGCTGGTCAACAACCCGCCTGTCATCTTTCTAGATGAACCTACAACGTGAGTAGTATAATGAAAATATTAAAACAGAAGATTTATTGTTACGCCCAACCCAACAGTGGTCTTGACGATTTATCGAGCTCACAATGCATTGCCCTACTTAAAATTTTGGCCGCGGGGGGACGCACTGTGATCTGCTCCATCCACACGCCATCTGCCAAGATCTTCGAGATGCTCGATGCAGTCTACGTCCTAGCTGAGGGGCAGTGCGTCTACCAAGGAAAGGGGTCCAACATTGTACCTTACATGAAGAACTTTGGGCTTTGTTGTCCAATAACCTACAACCCGGCTGACTTTATTATCGAAGTGGCTTCCCTTGAGTATGGCGGGTCCTATCACGAGCCAATGGTAGAAGCCGTTGGCAACGGCAAAGTTGCGCGATGGACTCCTTCACCAGAGGAAGGAAAAATAACACCCACCAAAAGCGACACCACGTCGGGGGCATCGTCGTTTTACGAAAGGGATCAGTTTGAGGAGGAGATTAGCCCAAAACTTTTGCAGGCCAAGTGTAGCTGGTGGCTGCAGTACAAGCTCTTGCTTATGCGTATGCTAATCCATATGTGGAGGGATAAGGTAAGTGCAGTTAGAGAACGACGTAGAGGCGCAATGTAATTTTATTTTTTCTGTAGTCATACATCAAGCTAAAGTTCTACATGAACATCATTCTTGCTTTACTGGTGGGGTCGCTCTACTTTGGTATGGGAACCTCGGCCTCTAAAGCGCTATTCAATTTCGGTTTCATGTTCACTATTGTGATAGCATACCTCTACCTTCCTATGATGCCTGTACTTCTATATTGTAAGTACAATATTTAGTCCTAGAAAAGTAATGCTTAATAACAAATACCTACATTTAAGTTCCCACGGAAATCAATCTGTTAAAAAGGGAGTACAACAACCAGTGGTACCGTCTGAGCTCCTACTATGCAGCAATGGTTTCCTCAAAGCTACCATCTATGTTTATTTTGGCCGTTATTTATCTGTCCATTGTGTACTTAATGTCCAGTCAACCACTTGAATGGTTCCGCTTTGCCATGCTATTTACAATAGCTTTCGTAACGGCCTTAACCTCCGACAGTTTCGGCTTGTTGATCTCCAGTAGACTAAGCTTAGTGGTAAGCGATTTGGCGCATATTTATTTTCAACATATCCTAATTAGTTTACGTTTCCTTTAGAATGCAATGTTCATGGGGCCAGTACTCGCCGTGCCTCTGATCCTGCTTTCCATTTACGGCATAGGGTATGGCGGAGGAACATACATATCCCCGCTTATGAGGTTTCTGATGCATCTTAGCTACCTTCGTCATAGTATGGAAGGCCTAGTCGCATCCTTGTACGACTACGGACGCGCCGACACAATTTGCGAAGAGACGGAAATCTTTTGCTCATTCAAAAAGTCCAAAGTGTTATTGGCCTTCTTAGGATTCGATAACATGCACTATTTGTGGTCTCTATCTTGCTTGATGAGCTTTTATTTGCTGTTCACTGTAGCAGCGTATTTTATGATAAGACTACGACTGAAGCAATCGGCGGCCAATCCCATTTTTGCATATGTCTTACAGCTGTTAACTAAATATTTTAACTTTACTTCGTACAATTACTAAAAACAATAACCGTTTAACCTCGGTGCTGGATAAATTATTTTGAGCGGGATTTCAGTGGCCAGTCTACACCTTCAGACACTCCATATTATTTTTCGGTTAGTGTAATATTAATAAACTATCAAAGTGATATCGGATTATGATTAAAAGATTATGTTCAAGAATACAAAAATATTTAAGAGAACAATAAATTATTATCAATGCATTATAAGCAAGGCAAAAAAATTCGAAAAAAGTTTGAGTATGCATAGGATTAAGTATGCATATTATCCAAAAGATATTTTGGACGGTTTGTGGACGGTCTCACCATTCTAGCTTTTGTAGTTCCTGAGATCGAGGCTTTCATACGGACAGACGGACATGGCCAGTTCGACTCAGCTATTGATCCTGATGAAGAATATATATACCTTATAAAAGTTTCCTTCTACCTGTTACATACTTTCCAACGAATCTAGTATACACTTTTACTCTGCGAGCAACGGATATAAAAAGAATAAAAACAATTTATAACAAATAAGAGCATTCAGATAGGTTGAAAATTCTTCGCAATGGATAACAAAGTTTATACATTTGTATATGTATCATGAATTATTTTATTATTATTATTTTATTATTATTATATTATTATTATTATATAATTATAAAAAATATTTAGAATTTTAATCGAGATTACTATTTATATTGTTTTTTAAAAAATAACTTTGCTTAAGTGCTGTAGTCATTTAATACACTAATTTTAACTAAAATCCCACATTTTGGAACTACATTAAATAGCCATTTAAATAATTACAAGATAATTTGGTTCAAAACGACGCGAAACCGAAAACTCTACAACCAATCCCAAAATCTCATATGAGGACAATCAGCTGCTTATTAGACATTTTTGCGACGAAATGTACGAGTTATTCCTAATAACATCAACATAAATTTATGCGATCTTGGTTTAAAGAAATTTTTGGGAAACCTCGAATATGATTTTTGAGCATACACGTTGTGCTAGCCAAAACATCGCATTTTGAATTACATGGATAGATTGAATTACATTAAATTAGAGATTGAATTAAAAAACTCCGCCCGTCTTCATTTCCAAACTCTATCGGCTTTTAGACTGATTTTAAGTCAAAACGGCAAAGTATACTTTCTCTGTGGCCTTGATTCACTTTAAAATATTCAAAATATTTGGTGGCTCTATCAATTGTGATACATATGTGACGTCCCAATATAAGCCGCCAAAGTTTATTACGGTAATTATTTAAACAACTGTCGCCGCTGGGGATTAGTGGCACAGTTGTCTATTTAAGATGTTAGGCAACTGGTCTGCTGAGAATCCAGTTGGTCTTTAGGAGCAGAAGCAATATGTCTTACATATACGTAGCACTTGTCTCGGCCATACTCCACCAATCATTGGTAGTGCAGGTGCAAACGGAGCCCACCATTGTCCAGGAATGGAGCTGGCAAGACCATCACGGCAACGTAGACATCGGTCTCTATCACTACTACACAGCGCCAGATAATGATAAAGATTTGGATGGCAATGAGAATACAAACGATTATGAATATGAAGAGGATGGCAGGGCTACTGCCGACGGCCAGGATAAGGAGACGTGCGAGTACAGCTGTCCCCGGTACTACCGCCCCGTCTGCGTTCTCCGCAATAGCCGCAATGTGACATTTGCCACGCTCTGCGAGTTCCACAACCAAGTACGTTGTGCCAACGCTCTGAGAAGACAAGGTCTTGGCAATCCGGTGCCCAACTTTCAATACCAACATGATGGTGGCTGCTAAACCGTAAGATTACTCAGGCTCCCTCCCTGGATAATTATGAAGACTTGGAAAGTGATGAGAATACAAATGAGCATGAATTTGAAGATGGGGATGCTATATAAATTTGTCAGCAGTTATAACAATACGATATTGGGCAAATATAACATATGTACATCAATAAGCTTTGTACGGCTACAAATATAATTCGAACGAAATTAAGTGTGTCCAGAATGCATTTATTATGTATGGTTACATATGCATTTAATGTATACAGTTATAATGTTGTGATAACTGTATCCTGTAGCTGTACTTGCAGTTCTAATGTCATGCTAACTGTAGCCTGTAACTGTATTTTCACGGCTTGTGATAACGGTTCTTAGACACATACATACAGACATATGTATGTATTTACATGCAAATCAAATGAGGATCGTAACTTATTGCGAACAGTATTTTAAATATCAACTTTTGTGACTTTGGTGGGTGTATATGTACATACATATATACACCTTCGTTCATACATATGTAGATACATATACATATAAATATATTTAAAGAAACAAGCGATTTCAATCATTTACCTCTTTAATGAAGGCAGCATTCCGCGCTATAGGTACAGCTTAAAAGGCGTCATACTTATGTAGCAATCACCTAAAATATTTGGAACACCTGAGCCTCTACCACCGACTCTTGCCTGCGATCGCGTATAAATCCTTAATATGCAAATATTATTTATGTTCGTTTACTAGGCCGATTTCACTCGTGTTGCTTTTGCAAGCTGGACTGCTTAGAACACTTGGGACACTGCCAAAAGCACTTTACCTATTAAATTCACCGCACTTATTGAAATTTACACAGCTTAACTTTTCGCCAAAACAAAATTACCAAAACGCAAGCCGTTAACTAATCGATCAAAATGGTGGCGCGAATCTCTGTATTTCGACATATCGATACATCGATTGCATTCTCTTCTTATCGGCGACTGATAAAGAATGTTAAATTCAAATTTTGAACTACTAATCTTTTATACAATACTAGAAATAATCGACTTTATGAAAAAAAAATAATATTGTTGCAACTACCCAATATAGTAAGAATACAGTAGTGAGAATACAAATTAGGATGAATTTGAAGATGAGGATGCTTCATAACCTTGTCAGCAGTTATAGCAATTAGATATAGGGCGAATATAATAACATATGTACATCAATAAGCTTTGTACGGCTACAAATATGAATCGAACGAAAATAAATGTTTCTGGGATACAATTATTTTTAACATATGTATGTGTGTTTAGGTGTTGGGTTACACACATACATATGTAGATATGTATTTAATGTATACAGTTCTAATGTGATAACTGTATACTCTAGCGTATTGGCAGTTCCAATGTTATGCCAACACCTGTAGCTGAACTTGCACGACTCGTAATAATGGTAACATAGCCACATATATACATACAAATCAAATTAGTATCGTAACTTTCAGCGAAGAGTATTTTAAATATCAACTTTTGTGACTTTGGTGTGTTTATGTACATACATAGGGACACCTTCGTACATATGTATATACATACATACACATATAAATATATTTAAAGAAACAAGCGATTTCAATCATTTACCTCTTTAACGAAGGCAGCATTCCGCGCTATTGGTACAGCTTAAAAGGCGTCATACTTATGTAGCAATCACCTAAAATATTTGGAACACCTGAGCCTCTACCAGCGACTCTTGCCTGCGATCGCGTATAAATCCTTAATATGCAAATATTATTTATGTTCGTTTACTAGGCCCATTTCACTCGTGTTGCTTTTGCAAGCTGGACTGCTTAGAACACTTGGGACACTGCCAAAAGCAATTTACCTATTAAATTCACCGCACTTATTGAAATTTACACAGCCTAACTTTTCGCCAAAACAAAATTACCAAAACGCAAGCCGTTAACTAATCGATCAAAATGGTGGCGCGAATCACTGTATTTCGACATATCGATACATCGATTGCATTCTCTTCTTATCGGCGACTGCTAAAGAATGTTAAATTCAAATTTGGAATTACTAATATTTTATACAATTCTAGAAATAACCGACTTTCAGAAAAAAAAAATATTGTTGCAACTACCCGATATAGTAAGCAGAACAATAAAATAACTATGATTAAACTGTTGATTAAGTTTATTGCAATTTTCATACGAAAAGGGGTTTGCATTCTAAGAAAATTGGCTTTCTTGTACACAAATTTGTTTATATTAGAATATTTCACTTTAAAATATTTCATGGGCATCTCATTAGGTATTTTTTTTGTGAAATATTGAAAATTCTGTTGTATTTACGATTAAAATGTACGTTCTGTGCATACAGGTAGATTAAACTTTTCATCTGTATCTTTAATATATTTTTGTAAAGGAAAATACATTATCTTAAGGTTGGTTACAGAAAATACAAAGACAGAGTTTAATGTACATACAATCGAGTTGTTTAAAACTTTAGGTTAAACATATACAACGCATACAACAAATTGAAATGTTAAAAGATACAAAAATAAGTTTAAAATGGGGACATGAGAATGCTGCATAATTTCTATGCAACGGATTTTACTGTTTTATACAATTTCCATAGACACCAACATAATTAAGTCGCATTTCAAGGGGATACTAACTACTGTGTTTAGTTTTTTGTGATTACTGAACTGACTGCCACTATACTATGTATATGCATAACTAAAGCTCATCAATTGTTTTGGAGCCCTCTATTAGGTATATATATGCGGGTATTACGACTAAAACTAGTTCTGTGTGAGCAGACTACACACATCAGGTTTAAATTATATAGCAAAGAGCACAGGATCAGATAGAAACGAAAGCCCAAAAGAGTTGGCAAGTCTATGCCGCCTCTTCCACTGACTTTAAACTTTAAAAACGAAACTAAAAATTACGTTGGTGTTTGGGTATCTGTTAATTTTGACGCTGATGAAGATAAGGATAGCTTAGACCTTTTAGCATATGGTGACTGCGGTTGCGACGCTTCAGCGTCTAGTCAGTTATCAGTGTCCAGAGGCTTGGCCTCCTCCCACGAGAAGCCGGCGCGTCCGAAGTGTCCATAAGTGCTAGTTCGCTGGTATATCGGCTGGCGCAGGTTTAGGTCCCTTAACACAAAAATATAACCAATATTAATGGAATATGTTTTAGCATATAGAGCTTGACACTTACTTGACAATCTTGCCGGGTCTGAGGTCAAAGTTGCGACGGATGATATCAAGGAGTTCCTTTTGTGACTTGTGGGAAGTTCCGTAGTCGAACACAGTTATGGAGAGAGGCTCAGCAAGACCTATGGCGTACGAGACTTGGACAAGGCAGCGCTTGCAGAGACCGGCCTTAACTAGTGATTTGGCCACCCAGCGTGCTGCGTATGCTGCTGATCTGTCGACCTTGGTGAAGTCCTTGCCAGAGAAGGCACCGCCGCCGTGGGCGCCCCAGCCTCCGTAAGTGTCTACAATGATTTTTCTTCCTGTAAGCCCAGCGTCACCCATTGGACCACCGATGACAAAGAGCCCACAAGGATTGATGTGGACAATGGTGTTTGCATCGATGTATTTGGCGGGAATGACAACTTTAACAACTTTCTCCATTACTTCCGAGCGCAGGGTTTCTAACGATATCTTTTCAGAGTGCTGCATGGACACTACAATAGTGTGGACACGCTTGGGAACTGCTGATCCCTGATTAAAAAGGTACTCGCAGGTGACTTGTGTTTTGGAATCGGGGCGGGCCCACCAGAAGACATCTGAGCGACGCAGCTCGGCAATCTTTTCGTTTAGTTTGTGAGCCAAGACGACGGTTAGGGGCATGCATTCCTCGGTTTCGTCGGTAGCATATCCAAACATAATACCCTGCAATAAGTTTATTACACTTTAGCAATAATCTTTAAATAATAAAAGTAACCAAAACCAAAAACTATCAGTAGCGTTAGATAAATAAAATACATTTGGGTTAGGAAGGGAAAAACCAAGCATAAGGTAGGTAAGACTGTGATAGCTTTTGATGAGGAGAAAATTTTGATGCTACTTAGCAGTGAAAAAGTTGTTTACATAATTAGGTTAGTAATGTATATGTGCCTTGGTTTTGTGCCTTTGCTATATCTAATTATTGTATTGACTGAAAACTCAAAAGTTAAATGATATGGATTTTGCAGCTTCAATCAACAAAAAAGACGATAAAATGGTTGGTTGGTCAGTTGAAGCCATATTGCAGCGCTAAATATGAAAGAGTGTCAAACAGATGAATTTAAAATGGAATAGCGATAAAGTCGTCATACACTACTTCAATTAGTTACGAAAATATATAAAGGAAACAATAAACAGAAATTACAGAAGTGGTGATAACACCCCTTCCAAAGAGCTTATAAACGCCCTACCACCATGAATATCTAAGTCGCAACTAAATGACTATCTATACAAATAAAAGATGCGTCGCTCTTCGGAAAGGGCCTTCGATCCCGGCCTGCCGAGACTGCTACTTCTTTACTGCTTCTAATTCACACCTGATCTCCGGCACCGATCTCTTCCTCGGCTCGGTTGACATGCACTCCTGCAGCGATCTCAGGCGATTGTTGGTCCAATGCCAACAGCACATTGCACGTTTTGAAATCAAAACCTTTTGTGAAGTTCGAAGCGCGATTGCGAAGTGCACAATATTGTTCAAAGTTTGGTATTCGTTTGTATCGAGATTTGTTTTATATGAAACGAAAAGAAAGATAAAAGAGAGGAGCGCAGCAGTGGTGCACATACACAGGAAAATGTCTGTAAGTAATGTTTATAATATGATTTTAAACACCCTTTATTTTATATATAAAAAGAATTATTTTCTATAATCTTCAAAGGGACTCCCTTGAAATAAGCTTTATCCAGTCTTTTTTCTTATATATACAAGTCTAGGAAATCTTTAAGTCTTCTTCCATAGTTCAGAAAAGCCGCATGCAATTCTTCTCTTGGTTCCATGAAACGGCAACTAACAGAATGTATTATGGTTACATAAATCTTTCGATGGATTTAATAGAATGCAATTTATGTGGTTAGAATGCCCGCAGTGTATTCCCAATGTGTGGTATGTTATGTA